TCAGGCCTCAAGGTGGTCTGGACGATGGGTGGGAAAGTGAGCTTCTTCCCCAGGTCGACTTTCATCTCCCACCCCTGTGCCCCCTGGAGGATGTTGGTCCTGGCTCTTTTATTAGAGAGTGGCTTTTCTCCTGCACTGATGAATTGCATTGATGGTACTTGCAGCTTAATCGGCTGTGGTCTTCTCCTGGCCTGTTTGAAAATGTCAGCCATCACTCGAAGCACTTGGTCATGCCGCCACCTATATCTCCCCTGGGCCAGAGCGATTTGGCACCCTGCTAAAATGTGGGCCAGTGTCCCCTTCTTTCTGCACAACTTGCAGAGCGGGTCCTCCCTCAAGCCCCACCTGGCTAAGTTCGCTGGGGATGGAAGCGCGTCATACACGGATCTCAGGAGGAAGCTAACACGGAAAGGTTCCAGCCTCCAGAGCTCAGTCCATGTGACCCTTCTGTTTGGGAGGTCCCATCTGGTCCATGTTCCCTGGGTCGCCAGCTCCACAGCCTTAGCCCTCCTTTTCTCCTCCTCCTAGTGACGAACTTCCACCTGTACCATCTCCCGCTTCTGCTGGACGCTTGCCTTCCTCCACCGTGTGAAGTGAGATGTTCCCAGTCCTTGTCGACCAATGCAGACACTACCGATGATGTCTCTCAACTCCAGGGAGCTCTCAGCTTGTCTGACTGCAGTGTCGGCTGCCCACTTATGGCCTGTTCGTGTTGCGTTGCTTACTTGCTCATCCTTTGAGTCTCTGAGCATCATTGCGACCTTGCACTTGGCCACTTTGAACTCCTCCACCACAGAGGAAAATGGAAGTTGGAGCTGTCCTGATCTAATGTAGAGCCCAACTGCAGTGAAGCTGGGAGGGATACCTAGCCATCGCCTGAGATGTTTATTCACTCTCCTCTCCACTCCCTCCACTGCAGTCACTGGGATTTGATAGACTGTCAACAGCCATATAAGTCTTGGAAGGAGCCCATGCTGGTATATCCAGGACTTGAACTTGCCGGGTAGGCCTGACTTGTCAATCCTCCTTAGCCACTCGTCCGCCTGATTTGCAGTGTCAGAGATGTTGTTTCTGTCACTGAGGGTGTCGTCGTACCACTTCCCCAGGCATTTAATGGGGTTCTCCCTGATTGTAGGGATCTGCTCTCCTTGGACATGCAGTTCGAAAGCCTCTGTTAGTCTCCGTGATTTCCTGGGCTTAAAAGCCATTCTTGCCCACGATGCTAAAGCCCCGAGAGTCTTTAGGATCCACCTTGCCTGCACATGCGTTGTGGTTGTTATGGTGAGGTCATCCATAAATCCTCTCAGTGAGGGTTGTCTGCTCCCTGCTGCTGTAACTGGTCCATTGGCCTCTGCTGCTGCTGCTGTAATCAGAAGGTTCATCCCCATGATGAACAAAATGGGGGATACTGTGCATCCTGTTACAATGCCTTTTTCCAGTAGCTGCCATGCGTGGTAAACTTGGCAGACTGGAACCACAGCTTGAATGACCCCAGGTAGCTGTTAATCATCTGCCTGATCTTGTCGGGGATGTGGTACTTAAATAATATAAAATCAATTTTAAAACAGATTTTTTTCAGTTTTGGATACAGTTAATGAGTTAATTTTCATCCTATTCTCACTGTGTTGGAAGGGAGACGAAATGAAATAACTTGGTGTATTTTTTTAAATTGGTGTATTAGTTTATATAATCTCGTCTGAAATTATAATTTCAGACAGGATGATATAAACTAAACTAAACTGAACTTCAGTCCTTCATGAGCAGCTGAATACTTTTAGAGCTGTGTATTTAAAGCATTAAAGCTGCAAATAGCATTAAAATTAAAACACAACATGTAACATAATCAACATGTTAATTAAAACGTTATTATAAGGGGAATTGATGGAGAATGTCCCGCTTCTCAGAATCCAATCCGTGATCTGTTTTGTTTTCCAGCCTACTGTCTTCATCCATGTCTCAAACGGGGTTTTGCAATAACATATCTGGGCTACAGTTGGACAGATTCTCTTCTGTGATTTCATGCAATGTCGCAACTGTTACATCATGTCTTTATCAATATATATAGAATTAATAAGACCCCCTAGAGGTAATAAGGAGTAAAAAGTTCAGATATATGTGTTCAAATGCAGGGAGTAAAATGAAAAAGTAATCAGAAAAACAAATAGTCACATAAAATATAGATACTGGGAAGGAAAAAAACATTAAAGTACAGCAACTCAGTATCTACACTGATAGAACTTTACAGACAAGACATCTGAAGCTGATAAATCACAGTTTTAAAAAGCAACAAAAATATGCAGCTAATCTTTAATTATTTTCTGAGATGGTTGCCATGATTCCAAGAATGTTGCTAAAGGTCATCAGATCAGCTGGTCAATGAGAGAAGCTCAGCATCCAGCTCCCTACATCACCATGTACTGTCATTACAGCCATGGTTGGGCTAGGGCTGTACTTCAGCCTGGGATCTTGGTTTAGACCTGAAATCAATCATTGTTTAAGCAGTCTGAAGATGTCAGAAAGTCTAGGGTAGGCCTACAGTCCATGGATCTCTAGATATTTTGTAAATCATTGCAAAGACTGATTGCCAATTTTCCGTTATTATGAGGCCATTTGTTTTTTTCTTGAGAAATAATAAAACTGACTGGTGTGAAACGTTATCAGAACTCAAACTGAGCTGTGGCCTCACAGTGTCCCATCTGACTGAAGGGAGAGCTGCGTGTGAACTTACAATTGACTAACAACAATATTTGATAGAATGAAATCCTTCAAACCATCATCAATGTTCTGAGGTTCTGTTCTGACCCAGCTTCTGGTCCTCTGTTTGTGTTGGACCTTCATGAAGATCTTCATCTTCAGTAGGAGAGCCCAACCGTATTGTTAGTTAACCTTTCAGTGATGAAGAAATGTCTTTACAGATGGAGGAAGGGACGCAAATTTCAGCATGGAGAAAGATCCAGAACAGGTGTTGGAACCTCAACAGCCAATCAGGACAGCTGTGTTGCAGGTAAGACTTAGGCAAATTCCTGAAAATTTGCGTTGGCCCATCTTTACTGAACCTCCTGTAACTGGATCAATGTTGAAACAGCCCCTTCTCAGCCATTTATCTGCAGGTAATTTACCTCTAGTCGATGAAAAACAAACCAGTCATTATTCTGCTGTAACCTAACCTCGGATAAAAGGGAGATCTCTCAGAAGACATTGTTACCTGTGACCTAATAATCAGAACACCTTATGGCATATTCTGCTGCCATCTTTCAAAGTTGCCCTTCCACCTAATGCTGTGTTTGTTTGTGTGTGTGTTGGGTGGGGGGGCCTTTGGGGTTCTAAGGTGACGTTCTAAGGATCTAGTCATATACAGATGTGAGGCAAATTTCATAATCCTTGGAAAAAGCATGGCTTGGGGCTAATTTATATTATATTGCCCTTTCTTTGCACATGGCCAACGATTACCTAAGAACAAAAATCAGAGTGACAGACTTTAAAGAAGGGCTTTGCTTTGGTAACCAACCTATTTTAAAACCTTGTGACTAAACATGGCTTGGGGCTTGGTGGGAATCTTGTTATTTCTAGGGGGTGCTGTTGAGAAATTAAGCCCCACCCCAAAATATTGTTTTAGATTCTGGTGTGGGGTTGGACTAGGATTGTCTCTAGTTATTTTGGAGCAGATCAGAATATTAATATGAAAATGACAGCCAAAAGTATTTTCATGCTGAAACACCTCACTTCGCCATGCCGTCACACCAACAGTTTTTAAGCTAACTAACTGTGTGTAAAACAAATTTAGGACAACATGTTGTGTGTCTCCTGACACGTTTTTAAGTTGATGAGGTCAAGTAGAGCAAAGAGAGACTGTTCTAAGTAAAAAAAAGTGACTTCCTGTTTTGAGGGGGCCTGGCTTCATTGATGTCAAAATTTCACTGCACAGTATCATTGGGATATCAGAGGGAATCAATACTGTTAAGTAGTTTGGGTTTTGAAAATCTTGGAGAGTATGCCAAATTCGAGGCAGGAACACAGCCCTTCAGCATGCTCAAAAACTCACAAAAAATTATATCTGTCAGGGTTGGCTGTGGTTTGGAGGACCCAAATGCAGAGGCAGAGAGGATGAGGTGAATACTTGTAGGTTTAATGAAAAAATGGTTAACAAAGGCAGTCCAAAAATCCAACTAAAGTGTAACAGACCAGAACCATGGAGACATCAAGGAAAAACACGTAGAATGAGCCAGGGAGAGACGAGGGGAGACAATTGCAGCGATGACAGGACCAGCAACAACAGAGGAACCAACAAAGAGTGAGAGCAGAGGGAGAGCATATATAGCTGACAGAGACAAAGGGAGGGCTAACGAGCAGACAAGGAAAATGGGTGAGAGGAGACAATGAGGGAACCAAGGGGAAAGGAACAAACACACACACACAGAATAACAGAAAAACATGAGAACTAACAAATCTAGAAAATACAACAAAAGGAATTAAACCAATTAACTAGGAAACATAGAACAAAGTAAAGCACAATATAACCAAAACCATGACAATATCCATAGATCTCAACAACTTATCTGCATACACAATAAGTTTGAAGCCGATGACTCACAATCCCCAGGACATTAAAAAATAAAAAATCTACTTTTGTCCCGAAATGGCCGACTTCCTGTAGCTTTAAGAGCATATCTCCAAGAGACTTTTTTTTTCATGATTTTGGGACCAACCTACCTGCCAAAGTTCAAATCTCTGTCTCACTTCAGGGGGTGCTGTTTAGACATTTTGACCACGGCCATCTTTGAATCCATTAAAATACTTTAATTCCACTAGAGTTAGGGCAATTAATTGAAAAGTTTGGTGAATTTTTGACTATGTTAAGGCTTCCAAATAGGCTATTCATTTGTTGGAAGAAAAATAATAATACACAATAAAATTTCAATAGGCCTTTGCAGCTGTTTCGCTGGTTGGGTCTAATATGTTCATGTAACGTAAATATTTTAACTCTTTAAAAAAATTTTTGAATTAGTTTATGATTTCAAATATACTCAGTACACTTGCTTTATTTCCGGGGTTAATTACTTGGTTGTGAATATATTTTTACTTTTCTGGAGTTGAATAAATCTAGTTCAAATTATAGAATTATAGCTACCTTTTTTTTCTCTTTTTTTTCTTTCTTCTTAGTTTAGTCTTCTGTATGTAAACACATGGTTTCCACTGTGCCTATGGTTTATGAAATATTTGACTCAAGAATTAAAAAAGTGACTAATCCTGAAATTGTTTTACTGAATCGATGATTACATCTCTGGTGCAACTTATGCGACATCTGCTTCAAAACCTTCTATAAGATGAGTGCAGCAGTGCTTGAAAGGGGCTGTTTGCAGCAAGTTCAACCATTAACAGACTCAACGAAGAGAAAGATTCAAGTTTTTTAATGTCAGAGCTGTCTAAAGTGTGATGTTTCTTGCTGCCACTGTCACACCACCTGAATTAAATGCTGCAGTTTCAGAAGTTTTTAAAATGTCATGTCATGTAATGTCATTTCCACCTAGTGGCACATTTGGTCACTTACATAAAAACAAATGAGCTAAGATCTCTGGGTTTTGATAGTAGACACGTTTAGGGCAGTTGAATTGGTCAGTTAGTAATTATTACTTAAAATGAGGAGGAGGTAGAGTCATCTTTTGTTGGAGGCTCTTCAGATTTGTTTATACACTGCATGAAAAGTGGGATTTTCGTCAATATACGGCACTGTAGATTGTCGTGGAACTTCAGGTTAGCGGCAGT